GAGGAACATACACATTTTGCTTTTATTTTCTTTAAGATTTTAAAATTTTATTGGAAAAGCAGATCTATAGAGAGAAGGAGAGAGACAGCGATTCCACCGCCTGGCTCACATCCCGAAGTGGCTGCAGTGGTGGGAGCCGAGCTGATATGAGCCAGGAGCCCCGAGCTTCTTTCAGGTCTCTCACATAAATGCAGGTCCCAAGACTTTAGGCCATCCTCTACTGCTTTCCTAGGTCTCCAACACAGAACTGGATTGGAAGTGGAGCAGCTGGGACACAACGGGTGCCCATATGGGATCCTGGAGCATGCAAGGTTAGGTCTTGGCCGCCAGACTATCGCACCAGGCCCTTGCTTCCGTTTACAACAGTGCCCTGCACATTCTTGCTCCATCTTTCATGAAACAAATAGTTTTTTAATTCAGGCTGATTGCTTTGTAGATCCACTCACTTTCAGGCATATCTGATTTCTTTTCCATGTAATCATTTAGATAAAGGTTAAATATTTATGCTAGGAATGCTACATAGGTGATACTGCTGATGTTGCAAATGAGAGCACAAATGATATCAGACTGCCCCATCAGGAGTGCTAACGCTGACCACTTTGGTAAGGCATTCCCCAGTAGCCGGCTCCATTGACAGTGTTGGAGTTTAGTCACTAATTGGTGGGTTGGTACTTACTATGTGAATGTCTTGATCCTCAACACATTGACCCATTTTTGCATCCATGGATAATTCCTTCTTGAGCTACTTATCACACTGGTCTCTTCCCTATTCCGTTATACTACTTCATTGTGGGGCTCAGGGGCAAAGAGGTCACTAAGCCAATAAGATGGCGACTGTCAAGGTCACTGGGTTACATGTGGTGGGCGAGATGGCAGCCAAGGACAGAGCCCTGGGCATGGACCAGGGCGGGAGTCACATCGTTTCAAAGAAAGACTGATTGGCCGGGACCATCTCGCTCACCCACCCCTGGCCTATGGGAGGTGACTTCTGCAATCCTGCTCCTAGTGATTGGCTCCTAATTTCTCCCCTCCTGGAACTCCTGAAATTCCTGGCCTGAGGCTATCCCTTACCCCATATAAGAAACTGAATTTCCCCAATAAATCGGAACTGCTTAGACAGAAGCCCTGTCCCTCTGTTTGTCTCTCGTGGATCGGGAGGCTGGGTGGCGGGCAGCAGGCTCACCCCCTCTGGCAACAGGGTAGTAGAAGAATCTGTGGGGGAGACCCCGCACTTCATGTTCAAGCAATCGTTTGTGTGAGGCGAATGTGCGTGGCTGTCATTTGTGAAGCCGACTTCCCATTGGCCAGGCACTTCCACTGGCCGGGTGCCTGCGTTCCCCATTTGTGTGCCTGTGGTCATGTCTGCCTCCTTTTGTGACCTTCCTTTCTGCAAATGCCCTGGCAAGCAGCAGGCGACTGCCCAAGCGCTCAGCTTCCTGTCAGCCACGTGGGAGATGGGGATGGCTTCCGGCTTCTAGCTTTGCCGTGACTCAGCCTCGGCTCTCAGGGCATTTGAGTCGCGAACATCTGTCTGTGTTACTTTGTCTTTTACATCTACAAATCTTTTTTTTTTTTTTATGTTTTATTAATTCCCGTGAAAAACTCGCAAATCTCCGCAGATAGTCACTGCAAAATCGACTCCTTCGGCTTTTTGCCAGCACCGGCATTGGCCTTGGCAGTTCCCCGGACCTTCTTCATCCGGTTCTTCCTCTCCTTCCGCTGCTCCCTCGAAGTCTTGTTTTTCTCATACAGGCCATGTCTTGCGAGTCTGTGTTTGGGTTCGTTTTCTTGGCGTAGTCCAAGGAATCATAAATCATGCCAAAGCCCGTTGTCTTGCCACCGCTGAAATGAGTTCGGAACCCAAACACGAAGATGACGCCGGGCGTAGTCTTGTACATTTTGGCTAGCTTGTTCTGGATTTCTGTCTTGGGTACAGTCGCCTTCCCAGGGTGGAGCACATCGGTGACCATTTGTTTCCTCTGAAGTAGTCGGTTAGTTACGAACTTCCTCCTCCCGATGGTTACTGTGTCATTCATGATGGTGGTAGACCCTCACACAGCCAGGGAGGAAAAAAAAAGCTACATCTACAAATCTTAAAGGAAAAAAGCAAAAAATTTTCCCTCCCACTCTAAAATAAAAATGGGGACCCGGTGCGGTAGCTTAGTGGCTGAAGTTCTTGCCTTGCATCCTCCAGGATCCCATATGGGTGCTGGTTTTAATCTCGGCATCCCCACTTCCCATCCAGCTCCCTGCTTGTGGCCTGTAAAAGCAGTCAAAGCCTGGTGCGATAGCATAATGGCTAAAGTCCTCGCCTTGAACACACCAGGATCCCATATGGGCGCCAGTTCTAATCCCAGCAGCTCCACTTCCCATCCAGCTCCTTGCCTGTGGCCTGGGAAAGCAGTAGAGAATAGCTCAAAGGACTCTGAAATGGAACTCAGGAGTTCCAAGGGACAGCTTCGTGCTCAATGCCCATCCTTCATGGGGTGTATATGTAGTAAGTTATAATCCTTGATTATTATTCTCATTCTTATCCAAGTTGCCATGCTGGATAAGCTGGATCCTCTGAACATGTTTTTGTCTTGAGTAGTGCCTTCCCAGAACTTGTCAGATTCAACTTCAGTATTCACGCTGCTGGAGAAAGGATGGCAGTGTGAGACAGAGCTCTGGGGAGAGGGTTGATCAAGAAAGAAGCAAGAAAGGCTCTAGAATTGGGAAATACAGGGATGGAGTCTTGGCCAGAGGTCTACCTGCAGGAGTTTCTCGAGCCCTCCACACCCGAGCTGCACTTGGTGCTGTGGCTGGCAGTGAGAATGGGTCAGCTCAGCGCTATCGCAGGCACTGGCTCCTTCAGTGTTTTGCGGCCATTATCACCAGGGACAAACTTGCAGCTAGCAATGCTGTGAGCTCAGTGAGCTCAGGAGCTGCTGTCCCGCAGACTCGGACTTGCTTAGCTACATTGTTATTCTACAATGTTTCAAGGGCAACTCTACTGCTTCCAGATGTGGCCCATGAGCACAGTCTTTTAAAAATATTTTTTATTTTGGGCCGAGAGGCTAAAGTCCTTGCCTTGAACATGCCAGGATCTCCTATCTGCATTGGTTCTAATCCCAGCAGCACCACTTCCCATCCAGCTCCCAGCCCGTGGCCTGGGAAAGCAGTCGAGGATGGTCCAAAGCCTTGTGACCGTGCACCCATGTGGGAGACCTGGAAGAAGTTCCTGGCTCCTGGCTTTGGATTGGCCCATCACCGGTCATAATGGTCACTTGGGGAGTGAATCATCAGACGGAAGATCTTGCTCTGTCTCTCCTCCTCTTTCTCTCTCTATATATCTGACTTCCTAATAAAAATAAATAAATCTTAAAAAATGTTTTTTTATTAAAAAAATGTTTTTGAGCACAGTCTTTAAAAGCGTGTAAGACAAAGAGCTTTCCAGCGAATCAAGGCACGTAAGTTCCAGGAGGAAATGACACACACATTTATTGCTTATATAGATACTTTTGGTGGTTTTCAGTTTTTAAAAGATTCACTGCTTTATTTGAAGGAGATGAAGTCTTCCATCCCTTGATTCCCTGCCTATATTTCCAACAGCAAGGTCAGGAGCTAGGAGTTTCTACCAGGGTCTACCACATGGGTGATTCTTGGGCCATCCCTCTGCTCCCCTCTGACAGGGAGCTGGAAGGGAAGTGGTCCAGCCAGGGTAATGCATATGGTGCCCATGTGTTATGCCCACTGGCATCTCGGGCTGCGGCTTCACTGGCCAGGCCACAGAGCTGGCCCCTCCTAGCTGAGATCTTCAGATGGGAAAATAGAGTTAAAGCCAAGCCTTGCCATGCCCTTACAGTTCTCATTTTTCAAATAAAAATGTAAAAGAAAACCAAAGAGGTATCCTCTGGAGGTGTCGTGAACTACAACATTTCACATCAGGAAGATTATTCTTTTCCTACCCTTGTGCAGTTGCATGGGTGAAACTTCAGCCTAGCCAGCCGTAGGGCTCCAGCTGGGGGCTGCCCGGGGCCTGTAGCTTAGCGCGCACTTCCACCTGCTGGCGGTGTGACCCGTCTGCAAGTCCCAGTGAGGAGGCTTCAACCTCCAGTAAAATCATGAAAACAACCTGGAGTAAAAACAGTGTCTTTTACACCCCCTTCCATGCATCCCGGGGTGCTGACTTTGAAACGTATTGGTTTTCTTTGACATTCAAATTGTAAAGTAAAACTTTTAAAAAGTTCGCGGACACAGGTGAAATTAAAAGTTAAGTTGGTTGACAAATCCAAGTCCGTGCATAGCTTCCTCATAAACACGCATTTTACACGAATCTTTTGAACACCGTTGGTAGGCTCAAATTCCAATGTATTTTTTTTTTTTGCACCCAAGAAAAACTTCACACACGGTTTTCCACAGCATCAAGAGGCTCACCGAGAGCCCAGGCGCAGGAAGGAAAGCCCCAGGCCAGAGCACAGCATGGATCCGGGGAAGAAGTCAGCTTTTCGGGAAAGGACCCTGCAGGGTGTGTGGCTCGTGGGCCTCAGCTCCCGGCGTGGAGAGGCCGGCTCCCTCGCAGATCCCACCCACCACCACCCACGGCCCACCGTCCAACGCCCACCCTCCATCGCCCATCGCCCACCCTCCATCGCCCATCGCCCACGGCCCATCGCCCATCGCCCATCGCCCACCCTCCATCACCCATCGCCCACCACCACCACTCATGGCCCATTATCCATCATCCACCACCCACCCACCGCCCACCACCCAGCGCCCAGCGTCCACCGCCCACCACCCACCGCCTATCACCCACCCAACACCCATTGATGGCTCCCCCGCCCCGCGGACGCGCGGCCTGCAGTGAAGGATCCTCAACCAGGCGCGTGCGCGCCCCCGCGTGGCCGCGCGCAGTTCGAGCGCCCAGGCCGGAAGCGTCGGACGGAACCTCGGGTTCGCGGCCAGCGTTTCTGGGAACGGCGGAAGTTGCCGGACGAGCGGCGCGCGGCGCTTCCCGCGGCGGCTCGAGAGGCCATGGCGGCGGGCGTCCGGGCGCTCCGGCTCTGTCGGGTGGTCCCCGGCGGCGGGGCGGGCTGCAGTGAGTTACGGAGCAAGGCCTCGGGAGCGGTGGGTGGGGGTCCTTCCCACCTGGGAGGACCGAGCTGGGGGCGCTCCTGTTGAACTGCGCTCCTCCCCTCTTGCTGAAGGTCTTGCTTGGGGTTTGGAAGTCCGACTCAGTATTGCTTGCAGCTGACCTGGGAGGGCCGGCGTGGGCCCTGCAGCCCCGGAGCGTCCTCCGGTTCTGCCCGGTGGCCCTCCTGGCCTGGCGTGGGCCTGTGGCCTCGGCCACACGACCCTGGCAAGTGGGGGGCAGGAGCAGGGCGAGGCAGGGGTGCGGGGTCAGGGCCGTCCGGGGCGTCTTTTAAATGCATTAACAGGAGCAAGTGGGTGAAGCTGACCTCTGCCACTGGCTGTTTAAGATTGTGCTGGCTTGGAGGAAGACGGTTCTGTGGCTGAGGAGCAGGGTGCGAGGTCCGGGATATGCTGCTCCTTTCCCGCAGTGTTCAGGCCTCTTGTTAACTTGCCGCCACAGGATGCATAGCCACATCACCAGCTGCTCAGCTGTCGCCCCTTGAACTGACAGCCATGCGGAATGAGCTCTTCAATAAAGAGAAAAGAAGGCAGCTGTCGCTCACTCCCCGGACAGAAAAGATTGAGGTGAAGCATGTTGGGAAAACCGACCCTGGCGCTGTCTTTGTGATGAATAAAAACATTTCCACGCCTTATAGCTGTGCCATGCGTAAGTAACACACAGCAGGGCAGGCCGGGCCAGAGCCAGGAGCTCCAGCTGAGTCTTGCACGAGGGTGCAGGAGTCCCAGGCGCATTAGCAGGGAGCTGGATTGGAACAGCCTAGTTCCCGTGCCCCACCCGTGGGACCATGCTTAGTAAGGACTGGAGGAGCGGGAGCCATCGCTGTGTGGGTCTCACCGGGGATCTGAGTGTAACGGGCTGCCGCGGCCCCAGATGATCAGCTTTCCCTTGTTGCCCTTTCTTAGCCTGACTTTTTTTTTTTTTCTTGCCACCTAGCTGTTGTGTGCTGTGCTTTTGTTTACTTGTTACTGTACTTGTGCTGTAGGTGGGAGTGAAATGTGATTGGGGTAAAAAATGCTTGTTTATGTTTTAACGGAGATGACAGGCCCTTACGTGCAATTTTGTCGTGGAGAAGAAGGAAAAGGGACACTTCTGTTCTTGTTGTTTTCATTTTTCTTTAATTTTGCGAGACAGCGAGAGACAAAGCTCATGCTCCTGGTTCCTTCTCGGCTTGAGGCCTTTAGTGGAGCCAGGGGCTGGGCCGTGGAGATCAGGAATTCCTGTGTGAATTCCTACATGGATAGCAGAGAGAAAGATCTTCCATCCCCTGGTTCACTCTCCACATGGGTGCAATGACCAGAGCTGAAAGATGTGGTTACAGAGAGAGGAGGCACAGAATCTTCTATGCGTGGTTCACTCCCCAAGTGGGCACTGCTGGTTGCCAGAGCTGGGTGCATCAGGAGCCAGGAGCTTCTCTGGGATCTCCCACCTAGGTGCAGGGGCCCAAACACTCAGGCTATCTTCTGCTGCTTTCCCAGGCACTTTGGCAGGGAATTGGATTAGAAGTGGAATAACCGGGATTTGAACTTGTCTCCCAGATGGGATGCTGGCACATAGGCGGAGGCTTAATACTACACTGTAGTAGCACATAGAGATGCAGGGAGTGAAAGATCTTCATTTGTTGTTGCTCATTGCCCAGATAGCTACAATCCATAGGGCTGGGCTGGACTGACAAAGTCTTCATCTGGGTCTCCCAAGTTGGTGGCTTGGGCCAAAACGCTTGGGCCATCTTCTACTGTGTTTGGCAGGCTGTTAGCAGGGAGCCAGAGGGGAAAATGTAACAGCCAGGACATAAACCAGCACCCATATGGAGCGTCAGTGTCCACAGGTGGCTACTTCACCCACCATTTTACTGGTTGACCCCCTTGATGCAGTTGTAGTTGACGCTTAGGAAATTGTTTTATTAATAGATGATACATTTCAAACTATTTAGCCTTAACAATGTATGTGGTTTCAATAATTTGATTAATAATTAATACTGTGGGGGCCCATGCAATGGCTCATTTGTGCTGGCATCCCCTGGCATGCTGGTTTGTGTCCCAGCTGCTCCACTTCGCATCCAGCTCTCAGCTTACTGCCTGGGAAAGCAGTGGAGGATGGGCCAAGTGCTTGAATCACTGCATCCATGTGGGAGACCTGGAAGAGGCTCCTGGCTTCACATCAACTCAGCTCCAGTCATTGGCAGCCGTTTGGGGAGTCAACCTGCTTGTCCCTCCTTGCTGTTAATCTCCTTTTCTAATAAAAACAAATCTGTTGTTTTTTTTTTTTTAAAGATGGTTTAATGTGTTGGATTTTTTTAATTGGTTATAGATGTAACAGGACACTCTTCTCTGCATAGGTAAAGAATCTTGCCTTAACACTGCTTTATTTCTTCAGGTAGCACTTACACGTGTAGCTTTTCACTTAAAGGAGGTTTGTTACAATTCTGTCCTTAATCTATTTTAAATCCCTAGATTTAAGTGAGTGGTACTGCAAGAAGTCCATCTTGGCCCTTGTGGATGGACAGCCGTGGGGCATGTATAAGCCTTTGACCAAGTCTTGTGAAATAGAATTTCTTACTTTCAAAGACCGCGACCCAGGAGAGGTGAATAAGGTATGTTTGCTCTGTCGACTTGTTGCGATCCTGTCTTCCCCCAGTCTTTGCCTCACTGCTCTTTTCTTTTCCTTCTTATTAAAACCTGTTTTCTCTGATTAGTAAGAAGTGAAAGCAGACCCAAAGAAAAGTGTTGTATTCCACCTATCCATGTTTTATTTGTTAGATTAGGCATTTTCATAGAACAAAAAATAGCGGTGGCGTCCATTTCTCTGTAGTTTGCATTCAAAAAATCGTTTCACAGGCCATCATTTCTGTCTCTGTTCAACTTACATGTGTTAATACTTTTCTGTATTGTATATGCTTCAGTTCCTGGGGCTACTGTTGCAAATCAGTCTTGGGTCATCTTCTCTGAATTAATAGCTCTTTAACTCTTTCTGTCCCTGCTTAGCCCTGTAGTTGAGGGTTCTTCCCAGTGGCTGTAGGAGTGGGTTAAGAGGCATGGCTGAGGATCATGTCATTAACGCTGGGGAACTTGCCTATCCGATGCAATTTCCCTGACTTGCCAGGCCTGTTGTGATCGGTCCTCCGCCTGTCTTTCCAGCTTTACTCCCCGCTGCGTTTTCCCCTCCTTTGTGCTCTGCCCGCGTTAATTCTTGCTCACTGCTGGTTTATGCTGTGCTGTTCTTGCTTTGGTGTTGTGCTGCTTGTAGCACTGCGCATTCCCATTTCCATCAGCATCTTGCTTGTATCTTTTTGAAAACATCTTTCCTTGGGAATAGCACAGCAGGTTGAGCCGCTGCTTTCAACACAGACATCCTTCATGAACACAGGTTAGAGTCGGGCGCTTCACTTCTGGTTGGCTCCCTGCTAGTGAATCTGGAAAAGCATCGGAGGATGACCCTGGGCCTCTGCCAGCCACGTAGGAGTGCCAGCTGGACTCCTGGGCTCGTGCCTTGGGCCTGGCGGAGCCTCATCGTGGTGGCTGTTTAGGACGTGAACTGGCAAATCTGTGTCTGTCTCTGTTTCTCCCTCTCTGTTAAGTCTCTGTTTCAAGTAAAAAAAATTTAAAGAATGCCTTGAATTTATAGAAATTAAGTATTACTTAATTTCAGAGGCAAGGAGAGAGAATGACAGAGACCAGTATTCTAGTCCCCAGTTGCTTGGAACCTGGTTACCCAGTCTAACTCACCCCTTGGGCCATCCTTGACTGCCTTCCCAGGCATCAAGTAGGGACCTGGGTGGCAAGCCACTGGGATTAGAGCTGGAATCCAAATGGATCCTTGTGTGTTTAAGGTGAGGACTTTAGCCGCTAGGCTATCGTGCTGGGCCCCAGTTTTGTTTTTTCAATCCAGTCTAATAATCTGACATTGAATTGATGAATTTAATCCATTTACATTCAGGGTTAATATGAATGGGTGGTAATTTGGTCCTGTCATTTTAGGAATGGGTTGTTCATTGGTTTAGTCTTCTGTTGTTATTTAACTTGGATGTTCCTCACACTTGCCTTTGGTTTTGGTGGGTGCTATTTCTCTTCTCTGTCAAGAGATCATCTTTATCCTTTGTAAGGCAAGTTTGGAAGAGGCAAATTCTTTTAACTTTTCCTTACTGTGGAAGTATTTTATTTCATTTTCAAAGACAAAGGAAAGCTTTGCTGGGTACTTTATCCTGGGCTGACAATCCTTTGCTTTTAGGATCTGGAATATGTCACTCCATTCTCTTCTTGACGGTAGAGTTTCCTGTGAGTGGTCTCCTGTGAGTTTAATTGCTGTTTCTTTATATGTCAACTGATTAAACCACATCTGAGGATCTTTTCCTTGTGTTTGATTGAAAAGAGCTTGATGATCATGTGTCGTGGTGAAGATCGCTTTTGGTCAACCCTGCTGGGAGTTCTGTGCCCCTCCTGGATCTTGTTTCCCAGTTCTTTCTCCACATTAGGGAAATTTTCCCTTATTACTTCAGTGAATACACCTTGAATCCCAGCTCTCTTTCTGCACCTACTGGGACTCCCGTAACTCTTGTATTTGGCCTTTTAATAATGTCTTTCAGTTTCTGAATATTTTTTTGTAACTTGACCCAGCTCTGCTTGCAGCTTTTGTTTGTTTCACTCTGGTGACAGGAAATATCTTCCAATTCTGAGATTCTTATTTGTGTCTCCTTCATTCTATTTTGGAGACTCCTCTGTACTTTTAATTTGCCACACTTTATTCTTAATTTCTGATTTATCAGCTTTCATTTGTCTCATTTCCAGTGTGACATATTCCTTAGATTCCTTGAACCTCTGTATTATGTGCTTCTCTTGTTAATAAGAAGCTTTATTCTTCTTTTTTTTTTAAAAGATTTATTTTTATTATTTTTTTATTGGAAAGGCGGGATATACAGAGAGGAGAGACAGGGAGGAAGATCTTCCGTCCGATGATTCACTCCCCAAGTGAGCGCAACGGGCCGATACTATGCCGATCCGAAGCCAGGAGCCTCTTCCGGGTCTCCCACGCGGGTGCAGGGTCCCAAATTTGGGCTGTGCTCAACTGCTTTCCCAGGCCACAGGCAGGGAGCTGGAAGGGAAGCGGGGCTGCCGGGATTAGAACCGGCGCCCATATGGGATCCCGGGCGTGCAAAGCGAGGACCTTTAACCACTTGCGCCACCGCGCCGGGCCCAAGAAGCTTTATTCTTGTTAATAAGAAGCAAGTGTTTTGAATTCTGTATCTCTTATTTTCTCGATGTATTCCTCAGTTAAATCTGAGGTTGGTATAAGATTTTGCTCCTTTTCAGGGGAGTCTTCAGTAATATTCATTGTGCCTCTGTGTTTTGTTTTGCTTTTGGTCATTGTACTTCTGATGATCAGATTCTTCTCCTTGGGCAGGTTTCTTTTTTTTTTTTTTTAAAGATTTATTTTTATTATTTTTTTATTGGAAAGGCGGATATACAGAGAGGAGAGACAGAGAGGAAGATCTTCCATCCAATGATTCACTCCCCAAGTGAGCGCAACGGGCCGATACTATGCTGATCCGAAGCCAGGAGCCTCATCCGGGTCTCCCACGCGGGTGCAGGGTCCCAAAGCTTTGGGCCGTCCTCGACTGCCCTCCCGGGCCACAGGCAGGGAGCTGGAAGGGAAGCAGGGCTGCCGGGATTAGAACCGGCGCCCATATGGGATCCCGGGCGTGCTAGGCGAGGACCTTTAACCACTTGCGCCACCGCGCCGGGCCCATTGGGCAGGTTTCTAAGCTGTGTCACGCATAGGTCTACGGTTCAATTTTACTTATTACAGTTGGCTCATGGCTCTTTGTTTGCAGTCACTTGTGCCACTCCCTCCGGTGTGTTCCAGGTCTGGGTTCTTATGTTAGACTTCCACCATGATCTCCATAGCCCCAGCTCCTGGCTCACCACTCTCCACCTTCTGTGATATTGTGCTGAGACTGCACTATTGTCTGTGCAACCTTTCTCCCTCTTCTGGTTGGAGTAGTTCCCAGGATTAGGGAGACACCAGGAGTCCTATGTAACTAGGTGGTGCTGATCTTGGCAGAACCTGTTGGCCATTAGTTCTGAGCGCCGCACAGACCTGTTTTGCCCCGTATGATGTCAAATTAGGCATTATTTTCCCTGTGGGACCAGTGCAATGCACTGACAGTGAGTTCACTCCCAGCTCAGTGCATGTGCAGTACTGTGGCATAGCCTTTGCCTCCCTTTACAAAATATTGAACATTTCGGCTCTAGGGGGTGGACTTGGCTGTGAAATCTACCCTGTTCCCGCACTACCTGTCTGGGACCTGCTGCTCTGTCTCTGCTCCTGGTCAAATTAAATAGACCAGCAGGATGGGCAGTTCTTTGAGTTCGCCTCTTGAGCTCCCAATGAATGCCCCTTCTTACCTTGTTGCTGATGGAGTTCTGGCTACTGGTGCAGTTCAGATCGCGGCTCACTGAATGTGGTTGGAGTATTGGTCACTGCAACACCACACCATTGTGTCCGCTGCTTTCCTGTGTCTGTCAGTGTCCAGGTGCCCCTCCGCTGTTCTGTCCTCTCCTGTTTCCTGGAATGTGCCCTCTCTGCTTCACACTGGCTAATGTTTCTCCATCTGTTTAAACGTGTCCTTCTCCTGTTCTGCCATCTTGATTCTCTGACTTATATTTTAACATTGTAGCATTTAATGAATTACTCTCAGTATGCATTATGTTTGTGTGCACTTTTTTCCTAGGCCTATTGGCGGTCCTGTGCCATGATGATGGGCTGTGTGATTGAAAGGGCATTCAAAGATGAGTTCACGGTCACTTTGGTGAGAGCTCCGGAGGTTCCTGGTAATGTGAACAAATGAGTGTTTATCCTGCTTTTGTGATCCTTGGATATTGGGTACCTATTTTGGAAATGTGTAGATGTTCATTTTTCATTTTATCTGACAAAAATTACTGTGCTACTGTGGCATTTATTATGGGTAACAATCTGCTACGTTTTGTAGAAATACTGCTCTTGGAGGTCAATATTTAGCGTGATTGAATTAATGGAAAGTGTCTCTTGCCTATGGATTTCGTAGAATTATACTGTCTCAGTATGAATTTTATACAACCTTAAACTTTAGCTTTACTGAACTTTGACTTCGAACTTCCCCAAGTTAAATGTGAGGAGGAGGAGAAACTGTGAGAGCATCAGTGAAGTTCAGGATAAACCAGCTGTGCCAGGTGGTGCTGCTCACCAGGAAGGAGCGGGAGTCCGCAAAGTGGAAGGACGCAGAGCTTTGTGGGCTTGTTACAGTTAGGATTTTGAGAGAGTATTTGTAGGAGGATATCATCTAATTTCTTTTTTAGAAAAAGTTTGTGCACCAAAAATAATGAGAGAAGCTCAAGAAATAATGCTAACAGAAAAATGAAGATTTTACAGTACTTGTATTTGGGAGCTATTGCAGAAAAGTTGAGCATTTCATGTCCTTTTAATCATTATTCTACTTAATAAATACATTGTTTTGGAATTCTTATACATAGTAATTATGTGAAATCTGTAGTGATAATATTCCTGGAATAGCTTGAATATTTGAAAACAACACTGATTTCTAATATGTTAAGATTTTTTGAAAGATTTATTTATTTGTTTGGAAGTTACAGAGAGGGAGAGACAGAGCGTCTGTCTACTGCTTTGCTCTGCAGGTGGCTGTGATGGCCAGGGCTGGGCCATTTTAAAACGAGGGACAGAGAGCTGCTTCCTGGTTGCCTGTGTGGGTGATGGGGGCCCTGGCACTTGCCCATCGCCTGCTGCTGTTTCCAGGTCACCAGCAGGTTGCTGGGTTGTAAGTGGAGCAGCGGGGCCTAGGCCTGGTGCTTGTGTGGGATGCAGGTGTTGTGGGTGATGGCACCACAGAGGCAGCGCTGATGCGTCAGTGCTTTTGAGTGGGAGGATTTGATAGAACTGGAGCAGGCAGCTGGACAGTGGCAGCAGAGTAACAGTTGTCCGTTGGGAAGGTGTTGTTAACTTTCAGTTGATGCTATAAATATTTAGTTGTTGAAAATTAATAACTTTCTGTTCTGATTCAACTTTGCATTTTATCTATTTTATTTTAATATTTGCATTTATTTTTTAATTTTCTAGTGATTGCTGGAGCCTTCTGCTATGATGTCGTTTTGGATGAGAGGCTTGATGAGTGGGTGCCAACCAAAGTGAGTATAGTTTTTTGAGTATTGACCTTAGGCTAGAATGGCCGCTACCTAAGTGCCGTTGAGTGGTGCTGCCTGTTAGGAACGTTTCAAAGAAGCTCAATGTCTCTGTCTTTCCCTCTCTCCTACCCTGTATGTTTGCATTTTCAGTCCATTCAACACAGAGGCTTATTCACCACAGCATGGCCAGTTGTCTTAAAGCTTCATGGCCTACTGGCTTGCTTTCAGTGACATCCATTTTTTAAGGTAGTCATTTTCAAGATATCCAGAATATAAAATATGGAACCTTGAGTTATCTCGGTTGATATGGTGGTGGGGTAACGGAGAGCTATCTTTGCTTGGAGCCTCAGCAGAGCACAGTTTGAAAACCACTGTCCTGGGCCCAGCAGCGTAGCCTAGCAGCTAAAGTCCTCACCTTGTACGCGCCAGTTTCCCATGTGGGTGCCGGTTCTAATCCCGGCAGCTCCACTTCCCATCCAGCTTCCTGCTGTGGCCTGGGAAAGCAGTTGAGGATGGCCCAATGCTTTGGGATCCTGCACCCGTGTGGGATACCCAGAAGAAGTTCCTGGATCCTGGCTTCGGATCGGCATAGCATTGGCCGTTGCGCTCACTTGGGGAGTGAATCATCGGACGGAAGATCTTCCTCTCTGTCTCTCCTCTCTGTATATCTGACTTTCCAATAAATAAGTAAATGAATCTTTAAAAAAGAAAATCACTGTCCTAAATCACTTTGAGCTTGTTGCTTACTGAGACTCCTGTGCACACAGGGTCACCTAGAGAACTGGAGCGGATTGAAGAAGCAGGCTTTGGCAAAGCTGACCCAAATAGCAGCTGAGTAAATCTACCTGGTCCGCCTTCCCAGGGAGGTTGTCCTTGTTAGTCCAGCGCCCGAGAACAGCAGAGCCCAGGTCGGCTGTCCAGTCAGCAGGGGATGGGTGTACATTCTGAAGCTCAAGGCTGGAGATGTGATTATGAGACTGGACTGCTGTGTAATGCGGTTTGTGAGCCTGGAGAGCTGCAGAGGGAGGCAGTGTAGCTTACCATCCTATCACATCCACTATGTACCTTGTTTTTTTCTTTTTTTTAACATCTTAGTATTAGAAGAAAGGTCTGACTTTAGAATACATTGCCTCTTCTAACTGGTACTGATTTTAACTTAGTGATACGTCTTAGATTTGTTGAAATCATGTCATTCGTAAGAATAAAAGTTATGAAATTAGGGAAGATTCTGCTTTTTGTAGTCATTTAATAATACTTTAAGTTATTTTATTTATTTATTTTGTTGGAAAGGCAGATGTACAGAGAAAAGGAGAGACAGAGAAGATGATCAGAGAAGATGGTTCATTCCCCAAGCAGCCACAATGGCTGGAGCTGAGCTGATCCGAAGCCAGGAGCCAGGAGCTTCTTCCTGGTCTCCCATGCAGGTGCAGGGTCCCAAGGGTTTGGACCGTCCTCGACTGCTTTCTCAGGCCACAAGCAGGGAGCTGGCTGGGAAGTGGGGCAGCTGGGACATGGACTGGTGCCTGCACGTGCAAGGGCTTAAGCCACTAGGCTAGTGTGCTGGGCCTAATGCTTGGTTTTTTAAGAGGGAAAGGAGGAGAGAACAGTAAGGAATAATGGGCAGGAAGGAGAGGAAAGAGAGTGGGAAGGGACTGAAGCTACTTCTTTTTCAGCTATGCTTGCAAGTTTAAGGATCGGGTCTTTATTGGAAACAGTTAAGTGAAAACTAATGAGATCAAGATTCTATTCTAGAAATTTGCTGCCTTTTGTTTTCATATTTAAGTGAAATTAAAATTACACTGAAGTTTCTTTGACAAGAAACGCACTGGCTGATTACAGGCTCAGGGATTTGGATACCTGGCTTAGAGAAAGTTGGGAGGGGGAGGTTTAAAGTGAGAGTGACGTTAAGGCTAACAGGATTATGTAACGTAGTAAAGCAGCCCTTAAGAAGGAGGTAAGTGAGCCGGGCATGATAGCCTAGTGGCTATGTTCTCACCTTGTAACTGCTGGGATCTCATGTGAGTGCCAGTTCTTGTCCCAGCAATTCTACTTCCTATCCAGCTCCCTGCTTATGGCCTGGGAAAGCAGCAGAGGATGACTCAGTGACCTGGGAACCGTACCCATGTGGGAGACCTGAAAGAGGCTCCTGGCTCCTGGCTTCAGATCGGCTCAGCTCTGTCCATTGTGGCCACTTGGAGAGTGAACCAGCAGATTAACGATCTTTCTCTTTGTTTTTCCTTCTCTTTGTAAATTTTCCTTTCCAATAAAATTACAGTACATCTTTTAAAAATATATGTTATGCAAAAAAACTGGAAGTGTTTTTTTGTAGAAATTTTTTATATAGAGCTTATTGATTTTTTCTGTATCAGTGATGATTTATAATATCAAAGTCCACTTACAGTTTTTTATTGCGGTATCTTATCTTTTTAATATGTTAATCATTTTAATTGTAAAATAAACATTTTTAAGTAGACAAATTTGTAATACTACACATATACTATATATTTCTTGAAGAGCTAGTAATGACATATTTTTAAGGGATTTTCTGAAGTATGAAAGCAATATTTTTCCCCATGTAGTTAATAAGCTTTGTTTATTCATAGTGTTAACATATTTTAATTGCTATTTACTTATTGGCACGCCTACTTTTTGCCTGATAATTACATCAAGGTTTGTTTATTTTTATTAGAAAGGCAGATTTACAGAGAGAGAAAAGGAGCGATAGAGTGGTTGTCTATCCACTGGTTCGCTCTCCAAGTGGCCACAATGACCAGAGCTGTGCCATCCCAAACCAGTAGCTAGAGGCTGCTTGCATGTGGGTGCAGGGGCCCAGTGGCTTGAACGGTCCCCTGCCGCTTTCTCCAGCGATAAGCAGGGGGTTGGATGGGAGGTGGAGCAACTGGGACCAGAACTGGCAAGGGGATGCTTGTGCCCCAAGAGGCGGGTTAGCCAGTTATGCCGCCATGCTGACATTGCATTGTAATTGTAATAAGCATTTAAAGTGTATTATCTAGAGGAAATATTCACTGAAATTTCTTTGTAGGAGTTTCTTACATTAACACGGGCTAACCATCTGTTATGGGGTTTGTAGAGTTGGAAGAATGTTTGTGGTCTTATGTCATCAAATTGCAGACTGTCTCTTGTTTCAAGGAAGATTGACAGTTTTAGTCACAACTTTATGTGGTTATGGAGAAATGCTTAACAGTGAAGTCTTACTAAACATTAACATTTTCATTTTTAAGGAGAACCTACGTTCCTTTACCAAAGATGTTCATGCTTTAATTTATAAAGATCTTCCTTTTGAAACTCTAGAAGTTGAAGCAAAAGTTGCATTGGAAATATTTCAACATAACAAGTAAGTATTGGCTTCAACCTCCCAAAATTGTAGACAATGATGAAAATTCAAATCATAGGAATTAAAAAAGTTGAATTATTTATATTTTTGATTACTGTGTAATACACAGTTTTATGGGGCACAGCACAATTATCCTGCATATGTGTGTAACGTGATGACTGCGTGATTAGCATGTGCTTTCTGGTCCCTTTGTCCTCTGCTGTGTTTGAAAGCTGCCAGCTCTTCTTCCGGTTCTGGTTCCATTTCGTAGTGCGTTACCCTGAGCTGGAGTCACCCACTGTGCGTGGCCCACTGAACTTTCTCCTTTCATCTGTTTTGGTAACCATTACCCAATCCCCTCCATCCACTGCCCCCCAACCCTTAGCAGCCGGTGCTAGTCACAGTTCTAACTCGGATTGACTGTCAGTGGTTTCCACATCGGAGAGAGAACGCGTCTGTCTTGGTGTGTCTGGCTTGTTTCGCTGAACACAGTGACATTGAGGCCGCTCCGCTCTGCTGAAGATGGAGCTTCATTCTTATTTTTTGGCTGAGTTTTGCTTTTGTTGTACATGTGGCATCTCTTTATTTTCCGTTCTTTGACCTCCTTTCTGCTGCAGCCTATGGTTTGTTCTCCTTGAGGAAACTGTTCCCCACTCTCGCTTTGTTTCCTTTCTTAGGCAAGCCCATTTGTCCATCAGCAGTGATGCAGTTCCCTCTTCTTTCCACTGTGAAGTGATGATGTGTGTTAGGCAACTGTTTCATGTACTTGGCAGCCTTCTGCTGCCAGGCCTTCAGTCTTTGCACAGAAAGGCTAAGGTTGAGAAAGCAAGCCATTTGGAACGTTGCACAGCATGGCTGTGTCTTCTGCCCTTGACTTACCTGTTTGATGGGTTTTCTTTGTTGCGTTTTAAATCTTGTCTGGCTTCTCCATTCCTGTGTTCCCTGAGAACCTTCCAGTTTATGTTCTACTAGTTGTTAGAACATGAAGTCAATGTTTATATTAATGTAATAGAAACTCAGGACTGATTAGAAAAAGAAAAATCTGCAAAAAACAGCCTTGGTGCTGTAGGCTGGGACTCCCCATAGAGGCATGAGGTTGTTGGTATGCTCCATAGCCGTGTCACTAAGCAGTGCTTTCTTTGTATGTTGAGACTCCCCTTTGCCCTACTTAACTCTCACAGTCCGAGAGGGGCTTCCAGGACCTTGGTAACTTGGTTGAGTGTGTGTTGGACAGGATAGTTCAGGGGCAAGTCAGACAGGACAAAAGAGTTGGGACCTTCACAGTGGTCTAGTGCTGGGCGTTGCTGCTTTAGGAGGAGTGTGGCACTTTAGTGATTTTGGCTCAGGAGGAGGGGCACAAGTATCTCGGTGAGGAAGGACAGGGAGTCAAGGGAACTGGCTCCCTCAGTGTCAGACGGGACACTGACAGAAGGCGGAGACATTTAGTGGGCCAGTGCTTCCCAGCCTTGCCACGCCATCAAGTGTGCAAGCACACAGGTATACACGTGCACACACAAGTGTGCTTAACACAGACTTTTTTTTAAAGATTTATTTATTTTTATTGGGAAGGTAGATGTACAGAAAGGAGAGACAGAAAGACCTTCTGTGTACTAGTTCACTCCCCAAAGTGGCTGCAATGGCTGGAGCTGAGCTGATCTGAAGCCAGATGCTTTTTACAGGTCTCCCACGTGGGTACAGGGTCCCAGGGCTTTGGGCCGTCCCCTACTGCTTTCCCAGGCCACATGCAGGGAGCTGGATGGGAAGTGGGGCTGTCAGGGTGCAAACTGCTTCCCAGATGGAATCTTTGCACATGCAAGGCAAGGACTTTAGCTAGTAGGCTACTTTGCCTGACCCTTAAAACAGACCTTTTCAGATAAAGTATTTCTTTTTTACTTCAGAAAGATTTTGCTTATTTGGAAGGTGGAATTGGAGAGATTGAGGGGTCGAGACAAAGGGAAGTCTTTTGTTTGCTGGTTTCTTCTTAAATGGCTGCAATGCCAGGGCTACGTCAGGCTGAAGCCAGGAGCCAGGAGCTTCATTTGGGTCTCCCACATGGCTGCAGGGGCCCACAAAGGGGAGCCAGATAAGAAGTAGAGCAGCTAGATAACAAGTAGTTGCATCTCTGAATAGTGGTGCTTTTAGTTGGTCTGACAGGATAGGGTGGAATTAAGAGACCTTTAGGCAGTAGACTTGGTATGACTTGGATGTAGACGATAAAGGTGGTAGAAGAGAAATCACAAGGAAGTCTTTGTTTCTCATTGAGAAATGTTGGTGAAGCAAGGTGTCATACTAAAGTAGGAAATTTATGAAGAAGAATACATTTGGATAGGAAAAAGATAGTATATTCAGTTTGGAAAATTGGAGGTTTAAGGTGCATGCGGAACATCCTGATGCTTGTCCCGAAAGGTCTCAGGTATACAACCTTGGGCTTAAAAAGAAGTAGGTGGGTCGGGGCAGAGATGTGGAACATATAATAACTGTGAAAAAAGAGCTACTAGATAGGGGGCTTGGGGTGAAAAAGAGAATCTGGAACAGAATACTTCAAGGGAAGATAAAGATAAGAATGGTGTGAGGGCAGTGGGGCTGTCACTGTTGCCATGGAGGAACACTTTGAGAAGTGGAGGTGGGCATTGGGGTCAGGAAGTTGAAGACTGGTCCATTAGGTTGGACCCAGCAAGTAGGTCCTGGCGGTTTTGGAGAGAAGTGACAGGTCAGTGGGGCTGTGACCAGATTGAGGGGGAGGCTGCAGCTGTAAGCCACACTCGGAGTTAAGTTTCACGAGGGAGAGAATGGGAGGGGCCTTCAGAGATCGGTATGCGAATTTAGAGTTGGAAGCTCTTTCTGTGCTGCTTTCCAGGTACAAAATCAATTTCATTGAAGAGAAGTCATCTCAGAATGCTGAGAGGAAAGTCAAGCTACATAGGTAAGTGAAAGTCTGAAAGCTAGCGGTGCCTCTGACCTTGAGTGGAGCTTAGCTTTATTATATTTGAATGAAGTGTGCATGATTTAAATAGATGCATTTACCTGTTTTGTCCTCCTTATCACCTTAGTTTTTACTAATTTGTTTATTGTTTTAGTATGATGCTAAATGAGAGCTTGGAGGATCGTTAGTTACATTTGTGGTTTCTCTCCCTCTTGTTTATTTAAGAATCAAAGTCATTTGTTTAAACAAATTTATATATTTATTTGAAAGAGTTACAGAGAGAGAAAGGGAGAGTCCTAGCTTCTGGTTCATTCCCCAGGTGGCCGCAGTGGCTAAAGCCAGGAGCCAGGAACATCCTCTAGGTCTCCCATGTGAGTGGTAGGTCCCAAGCACTTGGGCCGTCTTCTGCTCTTCCCAGACCACGTACAAGAGCTGCATCGGAAGTGGAACAGCCAGAACATGACCTTGCACCCACATTGTTTGGCAGGATCACAGGTGGTTGGCTTACCTTGCTATATTACAACACTGGCACTCAAACCCAATTTTTATACATGTAGAGAGAGTGTGTGTATGCACACATTTTAAAGATGTACTTATTTTCTTTGAAAGATAGAGAGAGAGATAGATCTTCTATCCACTGATTTGCTCCTCAAATGGCCGCAGTGACTAGTACAGGGCCCACTTGCGTGCAGGGCCCACGCGTTTGGACTGTCTCCCACTGCTTTCACAGGTACATTAACAGGGAATTGGATCAAAAGTGCAGCATCCATAACTCGAACTGACACTCAGAAGGGTGCAGGTGGCATTGTGGGTGTTACCTGCTATACCATAACCCTACAAATGCAGTTTTTTAAAAGATTTATCTTATTTTTATTGGAAAGGCGGATATACAGAGAGGAGAGACAGAGAGGAAGATCTTCCATCCAATGATTCACTCCCCAGGCGGTTGCAACGGCTGGAGCTGAGCCAATCCGAAGCCAGGAGCCTCCGGGTCTCCCATGCGGGTGCAGGGTCCCAAAGCTTTGGGCTGTCCTGGACTGCTTTCCTGGGCCACAGGCAGGGAGCTGGAAGGGAAGTGGCGCTGCCGGAATTAGAACTGGCGCCCATATGGTATCCCGGGTGTGCAAGGCGAGGACCTTAACCACTTGCGCCATTGCACTGGGCCCAATAAAAGCAGTTTTTTAAGAGTTCATTTTGGGGCCTGGCGGTGTGGCCTACCGGCTAAAGTCCTTGCCTTGAACACGCTGGGATCCCATATGGCTGCTGATTCTAATCCCAGCAGCTCCACTTCCCATCCAGCTCCCTGCTTGTGGCCTGGGAAAGCAGTGGAAGATGGCCCAAAGCCTTGGGACCCTACATGGGAGACCTGGAGGAACTCCTGGCTCCTGGCTTTGAATCAGCGCGGCACCAGCCATTGCAGTCACTTGGGGAATGAATCATCGGATGAAAGATAATTCTCTCTGTCTCTCCTCATCTCTCTGTATATATCTGACTTTGTAATCAAAATAAATAAATCTTTAAAAAGAAAAGTTCATTTTGAAATTGAATAAAATACTGCTTCAAGTTGAACATGACAGGAGCGGAGGTGCTGGCCAGTTAGTACTGAGGTGCCACGTCAGGACTGCAGTGTGAGTCCTGGTGTGCGGCCGAGACAGGTGCACTGCTCGATGGACATGCTTCCTCAGGAAGCAGAGGACACTGGAGAGTGGGTGCCTTCCCACCCTCATACTTCCTTGATTTTAACTTACTTCGTTTTTAATTTTTCTTGTCTTCTTTCTTCTTCTTCTTCTTTTTTGAAGCAGTCAGCATGTTTTTGGACACAAGCTTTCCCATATACTGAATTCTAGATTCTATTGTATTGGGTTGTTGTGAAGCTGTAGGTTATCAATTATTGAGTCTTATTTGATAGTGTGATGTATGCTTTGACTCTTAAAAACCTTTAGATTTGTATCAATTGTGATTACCAAGAAAGTTCAGTTAAGTTTTGGTTAGCATCGTGGTTGAGATTGCCCTGGCTGGAATTGTCACAGAGTGAATTCAGCCATTTAGACTGTGGACTGGTTGGTTGGGGGTGTGGCAGCAAAGGGAATGAGTAGAGTTCTTTTTCAAACTCTTGTAAATGTCCTGATGGTGAGATTTCTTTTGTTTGTTTTTTAAATCATACCAGGATAGGTGACTTCATTGATGTGAGTGAGGGTCCTCTCATTCCAAGGACAAGTGTGTGTTCCCAGTACGAAGTGTCAGCCGTTCACAGTCTGCAGCCCGCCCAGCCGAATCACGTGCGAAGATTCCAGGGTCTCTCTTTACCCATTCACTTAAGAGTAAGTAAAGTATAAAGTTCCAGGATTTTCAATTTGGTGTGACTGTGGACTTGATTTTATTTATTATTATTATTATTTTTTTTTATTTTGAACTATATGGTACAATTCCTGGACTTGATTTTATGCCAGTTTTAAGGACATCTTTTCTTTTCCTTACGCTGTGCGATACTAATATTTGGCAAACTCAAGTTTATGATTCAAAACAAGTTTGTCCAGGGTGCTAAGTAGATCATTTACGAGAGAAGCATTGGTTGAAAACATGAAGTTACATTGGAATGGTGATTTTCATTTTGTCAGACTAGCCTAAGTGAAGGTGCGTTGTGCGAGTGTGGGAGTGCATATTAGCAGGACTCCGCTCTATTGCCTTTGGCTTAACATGTGGCAGGCTCACTCTCATTTTAATTCTCTCCTTTTGACCCCAAGCTCAAGTGCTCCTGTCCCGTGCAAATCTTTTTTTCATTTAAACTTGGTATTACGATGACTGCAGTTGGAGAAGTAATACAGGCTCTATGCATCTGTGCTCAGGTTCCCAGATGGTAGCATCTTGCCAGGCTAACACGGAATCACAGGTGGGGTGGTGGCACTGACACGGTGACCACAGAGCAGGGATCTCTCATGTCTGCATTCTCAGCCGTGCTCCTTCCTGCGCTCCGCTCCGTGGCTCTCTTTCTCCCTGCCTCTGCCCCGGAAGCGCCTCACTTTCTCCCGACTTGGTCATTTTGAGAATGTTATATGAGTGGGAACAAATGGTGTCTAGTTTTCAGGGATCGACATTTTTCATTTAGCGTGGTTCTCCAGGGCTTCATCCAAGTTGTTGCATGCATCCATATTTCCTTCTGTTTTATTGCTGTTACTTTCCTGAATATGATTGTACCACAGTACATTGAAGCACATCTTTTCTGACTTACTAACTATTCTGAGTCAACCCACATGAATGTGAGTGTAGATTTTTGTGAATATCTGTTTTGGGTGTTTCTGGGATACATGCCCAGGATTGTGATGGCTGGATGAGTTAGGTGTTGTGTTTAGCGTTTGAAGATGCTGCCATGCTGTGTTCCAAGTTGACAGAACCATTTTAACACTTCAGTAATGTGTCATTAATGAGTCTTTCTGTATCCTTGCCAACATTTACTGCTTTAGCCGTTCAGACAGGTCTGTAGTGATTTCTCCGTGTGGCTTTAACTTAGCATTCCCCTTGCAGCCAGTGGTGTTGCACACCTTTTCAAGTACTGATAGGCTATCTGTTTTTATGGGGAAATGTCATTCAAGTCTTATGCTCCTATTGTAATTAAATTATTTGCTTTTTTACAGTTGTGTTTTGGATGTTTTGGAGTTCTTACATGTTGCTGATACTGGTCTTTTTTTTGAAAATCTTTACATAGTTTATTAGGGTAAAAAGGTTCAAGGGCTATAGGAAAGTGGGTAAGACTATTATGTGTCTGAGGTAAAGGGAGTTTTAAGGGAGAAGCCCAACGCAGTTTCCCACCCACCCCAGGTCCTGGATGGAGGGCATGCTCCGAGATTCTTGCTCAAGTCGTTGTGATAGTTCAGCAGTTATGAATTGCTGCCAATCTAGTCACTCCAAGCATGATGAAATTGTTGAGGAATCCACTGATGGACATAGTCCATCTTAGAGTTTCCGTTTGTTCAGTATTTCGCTGCCAACATATAGCTGAGGTGGTTGATTGACTTGTTCTGTCTTCTGTCTTTTCTTGGTTAGGGTTCTGAGTCCGCCATTTCAGTTGGGGAGATCTCCAAAGAAACTTTGTCTGAGGTTTTCCCAGTCTAGATTCTTTTATGTATTAGCAAGTACACGCCCAGCATAGTCCATCGCTGGTTACGATTGTTGGGTTGTTTCTGTTTTCAGCCCCAACTTCCACTGGAACCAGTGGGTGTTACAGTTCAGCCTGGTTCTGCTCAGCACATATTCTGCTCTCGCATAAACAAGTGGGAGCTGCAGCCTAGTCAGAGTGACCCACAGTAACCCCCACCAGGCCCACCCCTACCCTGATTTGCCAGTATGTGTAGCAGTCCAGTCTGTCCCACATCCCATTCAGCTCTCGTACATGTCGATGGATATTAAGGCTTAGTTCCATCTAACCAGCTCAACTATCCAGCCCTCACTGTTGTTGGGTGCCTCTCTTTCTAGCCACTCCAGCCCCGTCCCTGTCCTAGTTTTAGTGTCCTCTTGTGGGAGTGGTAACCCGAGAGGGAGGAGCCCACTATTTTCCTCCCAGGTCTCTCCCACTCCCAGATTGTGCACTCTCCAGATGGTTCTGTGGTTTGACTTGACAGAATTATCCCCCAGTGCCAGCTACTGCCAACTGATGCTGCGGTAAAGCCCAATCAACCCTCACCCACTCTAATTTAGTTTGCACCAGCAGAAATAATCATCCCAGCCTGGCTTTTCCCTGATCTAGGCCACATGAGGCACACAGGTGTTGTAGCCATCCTTGGTCTGGTCTTCCTCCTTCCCAGCTCATGCTCTCCAGTAGAAGTAGCTGTCCAGCAAGGGAACCCCCCCTTACTCCCTCTGCTGGCTCCATCCTCTCCCTTCCTGGTTCTCACACATGCTGGTTGGGCACCCGGTCACATCTTGTATAGGCAACCTCTCCTTGGCATTCCGTATTGTGCACTGGTTCTTGTCGCGACCAAACCTGGCTCGACCAACACTGTGTTCTGGTGCTCGGATTTGCCAGTGGATAACGTGAACTGATTCAGCCTGGTCTGCCCTCGACCCATGCCAAATATATGCCAGTGGGAAACTTTCCATGGCCCGTTCTAGGCTGTTTCCTATCATGTTTCTTGTGCTTACCTGCAGAGTCTGTGTCCTGCCAGAGGAGTTGCCCAGGCTCCTCCATCAGAACCTCTCCCAGTGCCAGATTTTGCACATACCAGTGGGTCCATGAGCCAGACCTAGTCAGTTCACCTCCTGTTTACACCCACACCCCACCCTTCCTCAAATGACCACAGTAATGGGGGCTTTATACACACACACACACACACACACACACACACACACACACACCTTATCCAACCCCCAGGTCTGGACCACATGTTCACCAGTGGGAGCTATGACTCGCCAGGGGAGTTTCCCAAGTTCGTCCATTTGATCCACTCCCAGATCCAGTTCTCATACATGCCATTGGGATTAGGCCAGGCTCCGGCGAAGTCTGGCCTTCCATTTGGGTTTGTGTGAGCTGGTGAACATTGCAGTCTGGCCCACCCCACACCCCATTCAGGATGCACATTTGGGTGCTGCTGCCTGACCAGTCCAGACTGTTATTGGTTCCTGAATGGACTAGTGTTCAGTTGTCAGCATTGTCGTTAGGAATCTTTGGGATTAATTCATATCCCAGAAGCAGACTGGGTTCAACCTGGAACTACCTAAGTAGCGATTCAAAGAACCAAAACCCCGGGGCTCCTGGCCGGGGCCAGCAGGTGGAGCCCAGCACCAAATGGCGTGTTGGCCGCACGGGGACAGCTCACCACGTGCACATGGTGGCTGCGTGTGTAATGTGGGCATGAGACGCCCTGGCCTGAGACTCCCCAGCTGCTGGCAGGTTGCTGTAAGTTTAAACCCCCAAGCCCAAGGTTACGCCCCTCCGCAATCCCATTCTCCGCCCAATGAGGGTGGTGGGTGGGCCCTGGACCCTGGTCCCTGAGTCCGCCTAGCCCCGGAGACCCCTCCCTCGCTGTACTTAGCCCAAAGGGAGCAGCTGCTGGAGCCCAGGCAGATCTGGGGACAGCTCATCACGTGCATGTGGTGGCAGGTGTGTGGGGGATGCAGGCATGAGATGTGTGGGATGCAGGCATGAGACGCCCCAGCCTTAGACTGGTCCTTTTTTACATATTTATTGTGTATGTTTCCCTGAATGTGTCTGTCTCTGTAGCTTGTTTTTCTATCAACAGCCTCTTGATGTGAAAGTTTTAATTTTTATAATTCAGCTCAATCAATTTTTGCTTAAAATTTTTATTTTAGTTGAGACTATTACTTTGTAGCAGATGAAACTGACGCCATCCCCTATGGGCACTGGTAGGAATCTTGGCTGCTCCTTTTCCAATCCATCTCTCTGTTGATGGTCTGGGAAAAGAGGTAGAAGATGATCCGGAAGCTTGGGTACCAGCCACACACATAGGAGACCTGGTGAAGCTGTTGGCTCCTTCCGTTAGATTGGCCCAGTTCCTGCCATGTGGTCATTTGGGGAGTGAGCCAGCTGATGGAAGATCATGTTTTTTTTCTCTCTGTAACTTTTTTTCTTAAGTTTATTGCTTTGGAAGACGGGGGCGGGGGGGAGGGGGGCAGGAGATACATCCCCCCCCACACACCCACACCCCACCCTTCCTCAAATGACCACAGTAGTGGGGGCTTTACACACACACACACACACACACACACACACACACACACACACACACACACAAACACTCCTCAGATGGCCACAGTGGCTGGAGCTTTATACACACATGCTCCTCAAATGGCCACAGTGGCTGGGGCTTTGCTAGGCCGGAACTCCATCTACATTTTGCACATGGGAGGCAAGGATGCAGGTATGGGGCCATTTTCTATTGCTTTCCCAGGCAGGTTAACAAGGAGCTGGATCAGAAGGAAAATAACCGAGACTTGGACTGGTACTCACTAGGGATGCTGGCATTGCAGGCAGTGCCTTAACATGCTGTGCCACAGTGCCAGACTCTAATTTTCCTTTTTTATGGATCATGTTTTTCATACCTAGTAAGAGCTCTTTGTCTGGTTCTGATTCTTCTCCCTGCCAGAGAACCTGGAAAACAACAGATGCCTTTTGTACCTTGGTTCTTGGAAGGAGCTCCTGGCTTCAGCCTGGTCTAGTACCTGGCTTTTGTGGCCATCCAGGGAATGAAGCAGTGGGTTCAAAGTTGTTTTTATTTGAAAGGCAGAGTTACAGAGGAGAGACAAGAGATTGTCCATTTGCTGGTCCAATGCCCAAATGGCTACCATGGCTGGAGCTGCTCTGGTTCAA